AAATACAAGTTTAGCTGTGCCATAGTGTGTGTAAAGGGGAATAATATATAATAATTCTGGAAAGATTGGTCATAGCAAAATTGTGAAGGCCTTTAAATGCCAAATAAGAGCGTTTATATTTTATCTTAAAGGCAGAAGGGAACCATTGGATCTTATTGAATAAGTGAATTACATAGTCAGACCTGTTCTTTATGAAAATCTATTTGGCATTGAAATGGCACATGGATTAGAAAAAGGAAAGACTTGATAGAATATAAGTCTATTGTAACAGTCTAAGTTAGTGATGAAGGCCTTAAATAAACTAGTAGCTATGTGAGTAAAGAAAAAGTGACAGATGTAAGAGATGTTGTGGAGTTAGAAACATTGGATATATGGGAGATGGAGGGCAGGTGGGAGAGTGAGAAGTTGATGAAACCAATGTTTCAAAGCTAGGTGTCTGGAAGGATAATTGTGAATTGGAAGGCAATGGGGAAATTCAGAATAGAGGAGGGTTTGGGGGTAAAGATAGAGTTATATTTTGAATATGTTGCATTTGAGATGTCTATGGGACATCCAATTTGAAATGTTTAATGTGGTGTTAGACAGGTGGAGCTGCAGAACTACTCCAACAGGAGACCAGGACTAGATATATAGATCTGGGAGTCTTCTGCAAAGAAATGATAACCCCATGGGAGCTGATGAGGTCACCAAGCAAGAGAGTTTAAAGAAGAGAACTCAAGGCAGAGCCCTGCCGTATACCAATTGTTAGGTTGCAAAATATGCATGATGAACCAGCAAAATAAACTAAGAAAAAAGAGACAGAAGGGTAAGAGAACCAAGAAAGGACTGTGTCTCAAAATTCAGCAAAGAAAAAGCATCTATAAGAAGAGGATGATCAATAGTGTACAATGCTTCAGAGGTTAAGGATAAGAATTAAGGAAAGGTTCTAAGATTTGATGATTAAGGGAGGATTAGTAGCATTGGAGAGAGTAATTTCAGTTGGGTGATGAGATCAGAAACCAGACTGAAGAGTGTTACAGATGAATGAGAGAAGAGGAAGAGTAGGCAAAGAGTGTAAACAGCATTTTCTAGGAATTTGGCAGTGAAAAGGAGAGGTATAAAATAATAGCTTGAGGGAATGGTATGGCCTAATGAAGATTTGGGGGACATGGCAAAATTGGACAGGTTTGTAAGCAACAAAAGGAATTGGTAGGTAGGGAGAGGTTAAAAATTAAAGAAAGATCATTGTGGGGGCAATATGCTGGAAATGATAGGAAGGGATAGATCGAGGATACATGAATAGGTTTGACCCAATGTTGATGAATTGGAGAGTGACCAGATTAGGATCTGTTGCAACATGTTTTCATTACCAGACTGTTAGGAGTACACAAATGCTTTGATATTTGGATAGAATTTGATCCATCAATTCTGTGAAACACAAGTTTTCTTTTTTTTTTTTATTAAATTTACCATTTATTTTATTGAACTGACCAAGTCAGTTCTGGAAGGAAGGAAGAAAGGAAGGGAGGGAGGAAAGGAAATTAAGGAAGGGAAGGGTAGGAAGGAAGAATGTATCAAGTTTTTACTATATGCAGAGCACTAAGGATACATGTCAAGGAGCTCATCTTCTAATGGATGAAATAAACATATGGGAAGTTTTGGTTACAAGTCAGTTGGAAAAGCTCAGGGCATTGATCTAAAAGTCAGGACTCTGAGGCTTTTACTTATTGCTCTGCCCCTGTTAGCTGTGTGACAATGGCCAAATCACTTAACTGCTTTGAGCCTCAGTTTCCTCAGCTATGAAATGGCAATAATACTATCTGTTCTGTTTATGTTACAAAGATGTTTTGAGGATCAGATGAGATAATATGTAGGAAAGCAGTTAGAAAGCTTAGAAATACTATACAAATGTAATGTAAGCCATTCTATTTAATCATGTTATCTGTATCTTCTTCACATGTTTAAATTGTTCTAGGTTTTGTGTTAATTATCATTAATGAAATTCTTTGCCAGTCTGTCTTTTAAAAAAAACAAAACAAAGCATTTTCAGGCTACTTTTAAGGGAAATGTATCCTTATTTGAGGCTAACCCAACAAACTAGACATTTAAACTAAGATGCATTTCATGACAACTTGAGAAATGTTTTTGTAGTCATTTCTGAGACAGATCACTCTAAGATTACCTCACTTACAACAATAACCATACAGGAGTAGAGTGAAGAATAGAAGCACTTAGGAAAAAAGGATGGCTTAAATCATTAAGAAATTTCAAAAGTTGTTCAAACTGTAACTACCTTCTAAATCAGTGATCATGGCTTGATTCTGTTTTAATTGTAATTATGGCCTCATGCCCTTTTATAATTAGTTATTGAGAAATGTCAGGACATGATATGCATCCATGCCCGGTTTCTTTTATTCTCTTTATCCCTTAGCAAAATTTGGACTCTTTTTTTCTTGTTTCTTTTTTTTTCTTTTTTTTTAACCTTTAGAATGGAAGGATTGAAATTCTGTCTTATATGAAGATTCATCATATGCAGTTTGTATTTTTACATAGGTTTGATTTTAAAGATTCTAAATAAAATACTGATAAATTCAATTCAGTCCAAAAAGCAGTTATTAAGCAACTGCTCTATTCAAGGGACCACATTAGGCAGTGGAAATCAAGAAAATTATTAGAAAATTATTGAATAGGTATTTCACACAGATGTATTACATAAAAAATGTCAAAAAATGTGCAAAGCCTTCAAAATCAGGAGACAGAAGGAGAAACGTGTGTGTGTGTGTGTGTGTGTGTGTGTGTGAGAGAGAGAGAGAGAGAGAGAGAGAGAGAGAGAGAGAGAGAGACAGGCAGACAGACAGACAGACAGAAGTCCTCTAGCATCATCATTCAGTGAAGAGATGTCAACTTGTTTAGTTTAAATGCAACCACGTAGTACTGGTATTGAAGAACATTCAGCTTTCAACTTTTCATAATTACACATTTTGCCATCAGTTAGAAAATCCCTTTTTTGTTTCAAAATATTTTGCTTTAGTTTTTTAGCTCTTAATACATATGTAGGATCTGAAGTGAGTATTAAAACATCTCTATGTATTCTTATTCATGAGAATGTTATTCTCCTTACCACTGTTGGGGGAGAGGGGAGAGATGGAGTAAGGTTTTTGTTGACATAGCAATAATTGCCTGTGTCACATATGATTGTCCCCCCACCCCACCACCTGAAGCAGACACTATATATGGAAGTGACAAAGGAATTAACAGTTTTCTGTTGGAAATGCTTTCAAATTAATAGGTTTCAATAGAATGAGTACTCTAATTTTTCTCTATAAGTGGTAACAAGTTTGACTTTGGCCTCATATTAGCTGTCTCAGGTTGACTTAGATTCAACTTTCACATTATCTCTTTTCATTTGGTATCAGTATGTTATTCCTGAAACAAGTTAATTAAAAATGGAATATTCTTGGAAATTTAACCAAGGTTCAAGGTGATAATTCCTTATCTAAACAAACATCTGTTGGTGGTAATAAATTCACAGGTTAGCATTCTTTGGAGTTTACTGACAGCTCAGAGTGCATTACTTTAAAAGAACCCAGAGTATAAATACTCCTTTATACCAAATTGTTAGTGTTTATTTTCACAGAGAATAAATGAGTACTGTGAAAGTTTTTATTTAAATTTAACCTGAAGGAATTATCATTTAGATCTTGATATTTCTCTTCTATGATCTCTCTGAGATTTGAGGCAATTAACTACATTGGAATTGTGATGATTTTAACTTAGCTGTCAACCTTTGTGTTGTCTCAACTTGCAGGGTGTTCCACTTAGCTTTTGCTTTAACCAATTTGGAAGCAATAACAGTAACATCTTACATTTTTTGTATTGCACTTTTGTATGTCAAACACACTCACATCTCACTTGTTCTTCCTATAAGGTAGGTAGGGCAGGTATCATTCCTTTTTTCCAGGTGAAAAAGTTGAAGGTCAGGCTTGTAAGATAACTATTCCAAGGTTGCATGGCTAATAAGTGTCTGAGTCACAACTAGAACCTAGGTCCCATAAGTCCCAGTTCTTCATTCTTTCCACTGAAGACCTACATTAACATGCATGTACACATGCATGAAAGGTAGCTTAACCTACAGATTCATAGTCGTGGAATTTTGTAATTGGAACAGACTTTGAGCCAACCAGTGGATCAGGTTGTAACTCATCAAAGATCACACAGCTAGTTAAAGGCAGAGATCAGGTGAGACTACTGGTCTCTTGAATCTCAATGCAATATACTTTCCCATTATATTGTACTATTATTCCTAAAATATTATAGCACATGCATTTTTTAAATTATCACTTTTATGTTCAAATTTTACCTGAGTTTATCTCTAAAGAACTATGCTTAGATATAACATATTGTTAATAGTCATATTTCTTCATGAATGGGACTATTAACAGTTTTGATTGAACCAAAGGTAAAAGAGGCGAAGTTGTTTGGACAGAGGCAGAATGTTAAAATATTTTGAGGTACCAATAATCAGTTTTTCCACTCCATATCATCCAGTCTGTGATTAATCTATATAAAAGAGGTTTTTAAGAGGTTTCTTCAAACATTATACTGGTAGGTTCTTAGGGGGTAGCATTACATACCTTTGTTATGAAAGTAGTTAGTGACAAGGCCTCATAAAACTCAGAAATAAGTATAATGTTAGAAAATGTTGTCAAGAAAGATTATATTACTTTCTCAGAGGCACTCAGGAGAAGCAAAAGTAAAACTGAGGTTCAGACCTCCAGCCCCATCCTGTCCATTAAAAACTTGTAAGGTCAGTCAAGCCATCAAGAGTGCATTGAATTGCCAAATCTTAACAACATTTTTGCAAGGATTTTGGTCGTATTTCTGGCAAAGGTAGCCTTTCCTTTAAGCCAATGTGAATAAAATTGATCTTGCCCAAGTAGATGACAATAATATTTTTACTTTCAAAGTAATATGACCAAAATGTGCTTGTTTCTATAACTGTGTCTTAACACTTTGTATAGCTTCAGCTCCTGAGAGATAATCGATCAGAACGAGGACACAAGAAAAATTGTTCTGTGAAAACTGCAAGCAGGTAAGAAAGTTTGAAATCATATTTTCATTTTTTCATTAAGCTATATGCCATTGTTTCCCAAAGAGTAAAGCAGAAGTATTATAATTTGAGGTTTGGGTTGTCTTTTTTAAAAAAATGCTTATATTATGCTGTGAATTGTTTATTAGAATGCACATAGAAGATTACTACTAAGAAAAAAGAAAGTATTTTTATTGCTTTTAATATAGAAATAAGCAAAGAACAGATTTAAATAAGAAAATTTCTATCTCATAGATAAGGAAAAGCAGTTTAGATCATGTCAATATAATTATTTCTTTTGAAATGATTTATAAGTTCAATGAAGTGGAACTAATCTTACTCCCAAACTTATGTGGCATTGAGATCTATGTTTTATTTGTGAGAGGATTAATATGAGTATTCATTTCGTAAATGATTTTCATTATTAGCAAGAGTGAGCAAACAGTAATGAAGACATAATCCCCTTTGAAAATAGAGTAACATACTGTTGAGGGTGGGTACATTTCTTTTCTTCAGTATATAAAATTTGATCTTGCCTTCCAGTTTATAGCACAATATGTCTATTCTCACACTTTTCATTCAGTATTTTTCAAAATAAATTTTTTATTTAAATAAAGATGGTCACCTTTGGGAAAATATCTAGGACTTAACAAAGCAGTAGTTCAGTCAAGAACTATCTCCCTGACATTTGTACTGATTTGACTCCTATTATGGAACCTGCTTGCACCTCAAATTTTTGAGGGCCAATACTCTTGGAGTCTTCTGGTCACAGGCTATCAGAGTATCTAGAAGCTGAACCCTACAGAATAAAGACATGATACTACGTTAGAAAGAACTATTTAATGAAAATTATCAGATACAATGTACTGTATGGGAAAAAAAATTAGGTTAATAACATATAAAATCTGTCCAAAGAATCTGTTAAATGCATTTATAAGGCATTTCTAGCTCAGTGCAATTATGGAAATCTGTCCAAAAATGACTCTTAGATAATGAAAATAGGATACTTAACAATGACCCTAAAATCTAATACAGAATAATTTCTAAAAAGAAGATGGCAATGGATTAACAAGCAATATCTGTCATAGGCCTAGCAGGACCTGCTTCATGGTCACCAAGGAATAATAGGAAAGCCAAGAATTAATCCTTGGTCCACCTTGAAGAGAAGCAAGTGAAAGAGACTATGCTTTCCTGTGGGGAGGAAAAAAGAACAAGGCCCAGAGAAAACTAGGCAGAAAAGAGAGCAAATTCAAAGTCAAGAAGCTGTTTATCTCCTCAACCTAAAGGAAAGGAGAACAAAGTCAAGAGAGGAGACTAAAAAGCCTCTATCTTTAAATTTATACTTTCAATCTGTGACCTTTTATGGACTTTTCATTATTAAAACCTATGGCTATGGCTGGAATTAAGCAAGAGAAGGGAAGGTTTTCCTATGTCCCCCATGCCCAGTTCCAAGCACCTAGAGGTCATCTTGCTGTCAGTTGTTAATTGTGATTTCACCAAGAATGGCTGAATAGTAAACTTTGTAAAAGTTAATTCCCATTGGCCTGTTGGTGCACTCCAACCTCCAACATATCATGATGAAGCAGACAAGCTCCCAACTTTCTACCAGTCATATAGGTAACGCTCCAGTTTTGAAAGAGGTCAGAAAGCTGACTTCATGGTGTTTTGTGGCTTTCTCTGGCTACATAATTCTAGCCAAAGGTCTTATAAAGTGGGTATTGTAGAACATTGCCATAGTAGGAGTCTTCCTGACTTCAGGCCTGGCACTCTAGCCACTGTGCCACCTAGCTGCCCTGTATATATTACATGCAAAAACTTATTGGCAACAGAGTTTAAAAAGAAAACATTAAATTGCTCAACTTTAACAACATATTTCACTAGGCAAATGAAAGACAGAAAATGACACCAATGTTGCATCAGATTAAGGCCCTCAGGAAAAAAAAAATAACTGGTTTCTTTATGCTTGCAACAGTAGTTGACAAGACCTGGCTTCTTGACTAGATCTATCGTTACCTATGGGCAATATTCAATATTAAATAGCAATATAGGATTATCATCAGGGAAGTCTCAGAACGTAAGGACCAAAGGAATTCTTGTCTTCTTGTAAACCCACTTGTTTGGGATAGAGAGAGAAGGCAGCAATAGACCACCTAGATGTCTGTGGTAGGCTCATCTTAATTAGGACAACTTTTAACTACCTAGGTAAATAAGTACTGTTACTGGGTTTAGTGTATTCCTTAAACCTATGTTATATACCAATAAGTGCTTTTTCTGAAAATGTCTTTAATGATTCTAGAATGAGTGATATGAGGCAATACCAAGAGTTTTTTGTGTTCTTTGGCACAAATTCTGGGAGTCAGACTATCCCTTTTCTACCGTTTCAATATTTGTCTAGCTAACTGTATTTCTTCCTGCTTCAAAGAGACTACCATCTTCCAGCTCCTTAAAATTACAGCCTACTTGGGCAGCGCAGCCATGGTGAGAGCTCTTAAGGCCGTTTCTCTTTGAAGTTTATAGGGCATCCACCATTTATGCAAGCATATTTGCATAAACTACCATTGTGTCAGCTTATATAGTAAGAGTCTTGGTTTAGCCTGGCAGCCATACAACAGCTATTCTCAACCTGACTTTAATGCTCACCTGTAAGATGAGCATTACTCACTCATTACTCATTCACAATACTCACTGTCAATTTCATATCAATAAATGTTTTTCCAGAGATGTGTTATTTCTGACATTGTTTATAGACAACTTCTTCCATGATAGAGAGCGCTATGTTAGGTCCCTATTTGTAACACAAATAGGGTTGGAAAAAAATAAAATTCCATCCTAGGTGGTTTGTCTAGTGAAGAGAGCAAATCCATGCCTTCCCCAAAAGGTCATTGGACTTTAGATACTCATAAGGGACAAAAAAGCTTTCTAATATGCCAGGATAGCATGAAAGAACCCATTAACTATAACAGCTGCTAATGCTGATACATCTTTTAAGAAAAAGTAAATAGCTGTGGTTTAGGGAATCACAGCATCCCACAATACACCAGAGCCATGGAGTCCTGGGAAACAAAAGAAACATACAAGCCAGCTGAGAGTGCAGGAGAAAGATATGGCCTCACTCTTTTCCATCAAAGGAGCCAGGCAAATTATTAGGCAAGAGACAGAATTGGATTCAACACCAGGCTGCTCTGCAAATAGCAGCTATGAAAGCATAGCAAATGACATTCTGGTTATACATCAGACTTTTCAGGTGTACCTACAGGAGTGATCATCTCAGTTTCATCATTTTCAAATATAGATACAAAGGATACTAGTATGAGAGAGTATATATATATATATATATATATATATATATATATATATATATATATATATATATACACACACACACACACACACACACACACACACACACACTACATACATATATATATGTATACAAAGATGTGAGCATATACACAGAGACAGAAAGACACCATTCTTTTTGTATTCTTTGGATGTTTTAAGATTTGGTTTTCAAAAATTGACTAACTTACGACATGCTGCAATCCAATGTCTTCCTGCCTTCCACACTTCTGCCCTACTGTTTTCCACTCTTTTTTTTGGAAAGATCATATGAATCAGTTGACCTATGACTCTACTCATGCTAACTAGCTTTTACTTCCCAAACCAAAATGCCCCTCCTCAGCATTTCTTTATGTGAAGTCTTCCCCTCATAGAATGTAAACTCCTTAAGGGAAGGGACTATCTTATTTCTTGTATTTGTATCTCTAGCACTTAGCATATAGCCTGCTAGCACATAGTGAGTGCTTAACAAATGATTTTTCACTCATTACATCTGCTCAAACATCCCTTCACTATTTTATGTTCTTTATAGTTTTTCAATATCACAAATAAAGCAATTAAAATATTTTTACACAGCTAGGCCTTTTTATATTTAACTAATTCTTTAACAATTGTGTCATTAGGTCAAAGGATACAATGAGTTTTATAACTCTTATTGTAGATTGCCAAAAACTCTCTAAAAAGATTGTTCAAATTTACAGTTCTACTATCAGGGAGCTTACCCAGAGTTGCTTTCACCGGTGAAATCACAGGGATGTGTGTATATGTATGTATGTATATGTATATGTGTATACATACACATATATGTAAAATACACAAATACTTGATGATTGTCGTTGCTTGAAATGATATTCATCTTTTCATTCTTCATGATCTTCATTGTTAATATATTAAAATATAGATTATGTGATATTACATATTCTGCTGTGTTTTATATTTTGATTTTTCCCTGAGGTTTTTTTTTTTGTCAACACTCTTGGATTTTCTAACTATACATCTTGTCATCTGCAAAGAGAAGCTTTAACCTCTTCATTTACATATAATGTAAATTATAACATGAAAAAAATTAGAAGATAAAAAGATCATTTACCATTCGAAGATATACATAGGGAATGAATTCTTAACCAAACAAGATAGAAGCAAAAGATGAAATAAACCACTTTGATCACACAAAATTGAAATGTTTGTATGAAAAAAAAATCAACATATATGGGATAAGAGGGGTAGCAGTTAATAAGGAAAAATATTTTCTATCATGTATTTCTTATAAGTGTTTGATACTCAAAATACATAAACAGCTAACAGAAATGTGTAACCAAAAGCCATTCTCCAGTGGATAAATGGTCAAAGAATTTAAACAGTTCTCAAAAGAAAAATTGCAAAATATTAACAATCATATGAAAGAATGTTCCAAATCACAAATAATAAGAGAAATGCAAAATGAACTATGAGATTTCATCTGATACCTAACAAATTGTCAAAGATGATTTTAAAAAATGAGACTAGTCAATGTTGAAGAAAGACAGATATGCTAGTGCAATGTTGGTGGAACCATAAATTGTTGTAAGCATCCAGCAAATTACAAATAAATTACTAAAATATCTTAACTCTTGGACCTAGAGATTCCACTGCTAGGCATATGCCCCAAGATGGTCATTGACAAA